AGCATTTTAATGCCCATCCTGAGCGGTGGAGAAATATGCCTTGGTGAGAAACTCCAATTCTTTGCCAACCTCTTTAAGCGCAAATAAAATTCTCCCGATTGACCCTTTTTTCAGCCAATAGATGTGTGCCAGTGTGGGTAAAGGACATGGAATTGTGACACAGATCAAAATAGAGTGCTCATATTATTATATATGAGTATCGAAGTCGTGACCTCTAAACGAAGAATCAAAGAAGCCCGAGGGAGATGGACACTTGAGATCACTAATTTATAACCTTGCATAACCACGTTCTCTCATTTAACACACACAAAATCGTCTTTCTAAAATATGATCGATAGTCGCGAGAAATACAGTAATTTTTAAAGAAAACACACAGATAACATCGACGAGTATCCTAGTTTAGTACGAAATCGATAATACATTGAAAGGAAAGAGAAATAAAGCATCCCAAGCACCGGAGATGCAATTTCGATGACATGTATTCGCCAGGCTTGTTCCACATTATAATAACGACAGGTCACGGTATGATGAAATCATTAAACAGTAATATTCCGTCGTATCAAAGTTGGGCAAATTTTCTTCGGCCAATCACAATCCAATCAAACCCAATTCTTAGCATAAAAATAGCGTCCAGACTACATTCCAAAATGCGGGCAACTCTAGCTATAATGAACTAGTCGTAGCAGGGGATTAGTCTCTGTCTAGTCTTCCCTTTTGAGAACTGGACAACTGTTTCATTTTATTATAACGCACATGTTCCCTCATCTTAGGCAAAGAACTGAAGAGAAAAATCCTCCCCCCACCCCACCTCACCTCATCCCCACCCACAACCTTCCACTCCCAAGTAAACTGAATGGAATAAAAATATAATATCTAACTGATACAGAGATTAAATAATTTGCTGGCCTCATATGGGAAAAAAATTGTCAATCTGAAAAAAAGATTTGCAAATATCAATCACTATATTTTATCAATATTTCAGCCAAACCCCGCACTATTGACTAAGACTTTTCTCAGTACGCAAAGCACTTTTTAAAAGACAAAAAAAGTTGTACTCTAAAACTAACACCAATCATGGGAATTTTTTTTTGTTCCTAACGTGGGAAAATTAGTCAAGTGGACTTTGATCTTAGTGCATATTTATAACCGCGATTATTGCAACCACTTACAACAATCATATTTAGAGAATAGCTATTCTTAACTTCAACAACAAGAAACCAGATCCCATAGGAAGTTGCCGTTGACAGTAGTTAAAAGATCAAATTAATAGATCAGTGAACTGTTTGCATAACAGTGATTTGGAGGAAAAAAAGGTAGTGAAACTACTAGAATGAGTGTCTAAAGCACTTGAGCAGGAGTAGAGGGAGTCACTCGTGTGAGAAACCTGTATTCGATTACCACTCCTCCCCCACCCACCCCACCCACCCCATCCCCCCCCCCCAAAGGCCGGCTTTATAAATGGAATTTGCAGATGTGGACAGGCTGCAAACTAAGCCGTGTATGAGCGGAGTTAGAAGTTCATCTTCATTCGCAAAAACAAACAATAGCATTGAAACCATCAGGGTAAAATTCATACATATGAGTATGCCGATGAAGAATTGACATAAAGGAGAACAATTATCATGAATCTATAATCGAAGTAGATCGCTGATTTCACACACCACTGATTGGTTTAAGTTATATGATTCATTATAAAATTCTACTCGCAATAAGCCATCTAATGGATCGAATAATTGATTGTCAAAAAAGGCTCCTCCAATATCATATTAGCAAAACATTACGACATCTATGCGAATGTTAGAAAACAAGGCTTTGGATGTCCATAGGTCCACTCCCAGTGATCAGTGGAAAACATTCATTAATTTCAAATGGCAGGCGTTTTGATAGTTAACATTAGCTCTTTGACTGACTTAGGGCATCACAGAGAGGAGGAGGAGGAACATCAAAGTGAGAAAAAGTCGAGATGGGGAACAGAAAGTGATTCGATGATGCAAAAGAGATAGACAGGCACAAAGGCAGAGAAAAGGTAAGGTGGGTACTGTGAAGGGGTCGAATATGACATACAGTGGGGTGATGGTCGTTTGAAGTGAGAAGTCAACTGCCAGTTAATAGAATTTTTTTGAAGTGAGAAGTCAACTGCCAGTTAATAGACTTTTTGACGTATGAGTTGAAGTCAGAAGTCAACTGTCGGTTAATAGACTTTTTGCTGAAGTCAGAAGTCAACTGCCGGTTAATAGACTTTTTGCCATGAAGAGAAGTCAACTGCCGGTTTATAGACTTTTTTGCCGCACAGTGGAAGGGGTCGAATATGACATACAGTGGGGTGATGGTCGTTTGAAGTGAGAAGTCAACTGCCAGTTAATAGAATTTTTTGTCGTATGAGTATACGTTGACCAGGGTGTACCACGTGGAGGTAAGTCTATCGCACACCCAATTTTTTTTGTTTCTGTAGAGTACTAATTAAGAGTGAGAGAATTCGAAGTCTCCAGGGCGACTCCGCAAAGATACCTCTCTACTTAAGATGAGCGATAGAAAAAACGCTTGGAACTTGAACACTTAAAACCATTGATCAATTTTAAAAAACGCTCGACGAATAAAAATTAGAGAAAAGTAAACCAAATCAAGACGACTATAAAACTGGTTGAGTTGGGAGGGAATGAAATCAAAACGTGACTCAGCATTTTGATGACGATGAAAGTTGTAATTTCATTGAAGCACACAATCGTAACAGTAGCAAACAAAAATTTTAAATTAAAAGGGGAAAGCGTAGTGTCAGATGGGAAAAGATGTGATACACACGCATCGACTTTTGACTAACCGCGCTAATTGAGAACAGATTTCAAGAGGCTTTTAACTATCCTATCGTTGACTATGTTAAATTCGTAAACTATTAAAGAGATCAATATAATAGGACCATCGGGAGGAAGTGATCTGAAGAGGCAAGATTAACCAAGTTGAATGAGTAATCGGCTAATAAGTACTGGATATCGCAGACAGGCGCATTAGATAGAAGCCGAGGTGCTAATCATGCGCTCTGGAATATGAAACATTGGCCAAATAATCCAAGACCCTTTGATATCCTATCGTTGACTATGTTAAATTCGTAAACTATTAAA